TCATATGTTGAAATCCTAATCCTCAATGTGGTGGTATTAGGAAGTGGGGGTCTTTGGCAGGTGATTAGGTCATGAAGGTGGGGCCATCATAAATGGGATTAGTGCCCTTATAAATGAGACCCCAGAATGCTCTCTAGCCTCTTCCAACATATAAGGACATAAAGAGAAGGTGGAAGCTATGAACAAGTAATAAGTTCCTCACCAGAACTTCATGCTGGTGCCTTGATCTTGGACTTTCCAGCCCACAGTACTGTGAGAAATCAATTTCTGTTGTTTATAAGCTACCCAGCCTGAATGTACTAAGACAGACAGGGATAAACATGTGGGTAAAAGGGTTTGGTAAGCTACTAAGCAACACACTAATGTAATGTATTATGTAATCATAATTTCTGCCCTTTAGCTCCCTTTCTACCTTTTAAACTGTCTCCTAAACTGCAGGTTTAAAAATTTACAGTGTCAGGATATAGTTCCTAGAATGTGAAAATCACTGTGCTCTACAGATCTAAAGGAGAATGAGGTTTGTTACTCATTTAAGCACTCCAGGTTGCAAGGGCTAAGGCAGAATTTGGAACCCTGAAGTCCCTAATGGGATTTGTGGGTGTTGAGGCCATAGTTCCTTGGACAAGCTGCTTCTCCTCTGTGAGACCCAGTTTCCTGGTTATTTAGCATTTTTCCCATAATCTATGCTTGGCTTCTTTGCTGAGAGAGGCCATGTTTAGAAGTAGGATTGGGTGCAGGATGGAGGCTGTGAATGGAACCACACTGTAAAGCAAGACCCAACTGTTCACCAGAGGCTCCAGGAGAGGACTTTTTTGTTTTATGTCCTCATGGAATGTTGTCCAAATCCTGAGAAGTTGTCAAAGAGAGGCAAATGATCCTAGGGCAGTAGACAATACATACCTATTCTTTTCGTAGAAAAAGAGGAGGCTCTTTCCACAAGGCCAGTGCCTTGATCTTCAACTTCCCAGACTGCAGAAGAGTGAGAAATAAATGTTTGTTTAAACATCCAGCCATGTTAGTTTCTATAGCAGCACAAACTGACTACGACAATTTATTTCCATTCTGTGAACCACCCAGGGCTCTCCACCCCACCCCCAAGATGAGCAACTACATGGGACCTGGGTGATGGAAGTGTTAAGGGCAAGATAGGACAGACGGCATTCAGGATTGGCCCAGAATACTGATAGCCCACAGGAAAGAAAACTATTACAAAGAGAACTTTGGGGGAGGCTCTTACAAGAACAGAACATGATCCATATAAGTAGTGACTATGTCAGTGATGGTAATTGCTGGCACAGGCAGGCATGAGGAAATGTCAACTAGAGAAAGTAAGTTAGACCTGGGTCACACACATGCCTTGGATCTGGACAAAGTCACCTGGCCCAGGAGAAGGCAAGTAAGGTAGGACTCAGGATGAGTACAAGACTCTGGACCCTGCATCCTTCCCTGGGAGTCTGTAGGAAAGCAGGTGTTGGGCCTGCTCAAAGAGAGGAGAGGGCAGTCCTACCAACCACAGCACCTACTCAGGAAACTGAGGAAGCAGTGCCCACAGTCCAGATTTGAGAATGACATAGCTGGTCCTGGGGAAAGAGAAAGGGCAGAGACTATCTCTGGGCACAGGGGTAGGTTTGAGGGTCTTACCCAGGGAGGTTACAAGTGCCAAATTCTCCAGTATCACATCTTGGTACAGGCATCTGTGAGGCTCGTCAAGGAGATTCCATTCCTCCAAAGAGAAGTACATGGCCACATCCTCAAAGGTCACATTGCCCTGCTATGATGATGACAGAAGAACCAAAAGCAGTCCACTTCTGAGTCACAATCCTTTCCCCCCAACATCTATTCCATGCCCACCCTCCTCCCAAGATGCTTAACTCAGCGTTTTGAGAAACTAGGCCTTGGCACCACTGATGCCATTGTGTCTTCATGTGCCCATTCATCACTGGGTCCAGGAGGCAGGTGGACAAACATACAGTTGACCCTTGAACAACACAGGTTAGAACCACAAGAATCCACTCATACTTGGATTTTTTTTCAGTAAACAAATACTACAGTACTCATGATCTGTGTATAGGTAGGATGAATCAGCAGTTGTGGAACTACAGATACAGAGGGCCTACCTGTAAACTTTTACGCAGATTTTCGAGTGTGCAGAGGGTTGGTGCTCCCAACCCCTTGTTGTTGAAGGGTCAACAATATCTAAGCCATGGGCCTGGCACAGAGGACCCAGCGGCTCATATTACCCCGGTATTACCAAAGTCTCAATACCAGATCCTGGAACCTTCAGGTATACTCCCTAAGTTCACACCACTCTTTAGAATTCACATCCCTCACATCCCTAGATTCCACAGCCACATGCCCATGGCCACCACCACCTTAGGGCCCACACGATAGGCATGTGCTTGGTCTCCCCACATTACTCGTGTCTTAATCAACACCTCTTCACCCCACTGTTCAGGGTGGAATTCCCAGTGTATAGTTATGGAGGCAGCCAAACATGTGACATTTGACACTGAACATATGAGACAGACAGCAGTTTATAAATCACATATACTCACAGCCTGAGAGAGGAGGACACACCACACTACACAGGGCCACATGGAGGTTGTACTCCAGAAGAGAGGCTGTACACCGGGGGCTGTGGGACATAAGCTTGGTAGTAGCAAGAGGGAGAAGTGTTCCTTGGTTCCCATGGGAGGGTGTGATTGGCTTTGTGCAAAATTCCATGGATTGGTAGGAACTGAAACCTGCTACAAAGGGATGAACAGGAACTGCTCTGGTTTCCTTGCTAAAAAGGGAGTATCTGGTAGGAGCAGAGTGGGGAGGGCAAGTTGCACTGAGGACATTTGAGCCATCCCATTTTCTGCTACCCATAATGGGCCTATGCTGCAATTTGGCAGATGACATAAAGATTATACTTGACATAGTTAAACACAATCCAGTATGATGCCAGACATCCCATGGCTTCCACTAGCAGTCACAGCCCCAAAACTTTCTATGAAGATCTCCCTGCCTGGCTCAGTTCCTTGCCTCTAACTTAGTCACACAGAATCACACGTGTATCTCAGACACACATGGCTCTCCTCTACTTGTGTGCTTCACTTGCTGCCCCCTACCACTACAACCTTCCTCTGTCCACCTACCCCTCGTTCAAAGAACAGCCCACAGGTGGCCTACCCCAGGCCTAGTGACTCTCACAGATGACTACATTTGCTCTTGACCTTATCCTCCAGGCTGAATGAAAAACAAGCTCCATGGGCTTCCCTGGTGGCACAGTGGTTAAGAATCTGCCTGCCAAAGCAGGGAACACGGGTTCTATCCCTGGTCCAGGAAGATCCCACATGCTGCGGAGCAACTAAGCCCGTGTGCCACAAGTACTGAGCCTGTGCTCTAGAGCCCGTGAGCCACAACTACTGAACCCGCATGCTGCAACTACTGAAACCCGCGCGCCTAGAGCCCGTGCTCAGCAACAAGAGAAGCCACTGCAATGCGAAGCCCGCGCACTGCAACGAACAGTAGCCCCCGCTCAGTCCCTTCTTGCCCCAACTAGAGAAAGCCTGCGCGCAGCAACAAAGACCCTACTCAGCCAATAAATACATAAATAAATTTTTTTTTTTTTTAAAAGAGAGAAACAAGCTCCACCAAAGTCCTCACAAAATCCTGGTGTGTACAGAGTGGTAAATAAGCACCAGTTCTGGCTTGAGTGTCATCTCACTTCAATTGCTACTGTGACTCTTCATCCATCTCATGTCTTTTCTTGGGAGGCTTGGCCACCTGCCAGACAATACTGTCTCTGAGAGCCTCTCCAATTCCTTTTCCACCACCCCAGGTGGGACTCAAGGACTGGGGAAATAGCACTTAAGAGTCCCAAGACACCACAATCCAGACATGTGATTCAGTGTCAGGCCCGGCGAGGGAACGGGACGCCTTCCACTTGACTGTGCTGGTTCCATAAGCAGCCATAGAAATGTGGAACAAGTGATGAGTCTATGGAGGGGTTTGATGGGCTCAGGCTTCCATGTACCCCTGCCTGGCCCTGAAGTCTGGGATAGCGACTTAATCTCTGAGCCTCAGTGATCAGTTCCCCTTTTACAAGGTGTCCCTGTGCCTGTCACCCTCCCCCACTTGCCACCACACTGTCAGAAACAGGGCCCCACCAGAAACCTAGCAAGACCCTGAAGGGCTCCTGGGTACGGAAGCCTGTCTTGCGCTTCCTGTCGAGTGATACTCATAACAATAGCCTTGAGCTCTACTGAACTAAAACCCCCAACAAATAGAAGATGCTAACTACTTGATGAAGCGCCCTTCAGAGAAGATCAGGAGACCACCTGAGGCCAGATTAAAGGAGTGCAAGCCCCGCTCACGCCCTGATCCTTATCCACAACCGCGTTCTTCAACTGTGGCTGTAAAACTCCTCACCAAATTCCCCTGGGGTTGGGACAACAGGTTTTCGGGTCACAAGCCCACTGTGTCCCCCCTTGCCTGGCAAAGCAATAAAACTATTATTTTCTGCTTCACCGAAAACTGTCTCTGAGATTCGATTCGGCACCTGTGCACAGAGGCTAAGCTTTTGGCATCACACCCACGGCCGCCTCACCATCCTGGACACCGGGTCCTGGGCTGGGAGCACGAGAGCAGGCGCCCCGCACTGGGGGCTTTAGTGTCTGCTGGGGTGAGCGCGGTGAGGGTCCGGAAGACAGGCATCTACCTGAGGCGGGTCCCTCAGCACCACCGCTGCCATTGGGGTCTGTGGGCAGAGCGGGACCCGGACCGGCAGTCCCTCTCCCAGGTCTGGCGCGGGGCATCGGGGTGGCGTCGCCGAGCCTCAGACCCGCTTTTTTCCTGGGGGAACAAGGCCTCTTCTCGGACCTTGTTGGCCGTCATGTCGGTCCAGACCCAGCAGTCCGGAGGCAGAACAGGCCCAGAGTAGTTAAAATGGCCGCCACGAGAAGGAAACCAGAAGTCGCTCCCTTATGAATTGCACCTGATAGGAAACGCCCCTTTTATGAGACTTTGATTGGCTGAGTGGCGCTGCCGCCCGTCGTGGAGCGTTCTGGGTAATGTAGTTCCCGCAGAACCACAGGCCGCGTGTGAGGATACTCTCCGCCGACCTCTAGTAAAGAAGGCAGGAAAAAAAAAAAAGGCAGAGCTCTGCTGCCAGGGGCGCTGGGAAATGGTGCGTGTGGGTTCTCGGGCAGAGGAGGGACTTCGCTTCTTATTGAAAAGGCCATACTCAGATTTCTGGGGAGCCCTTTCTGCAACTGATGGCGCAGGTGTTTGGAGACGTATTAGTTTGGACTCCCGGTAAGCTCAGCGTGCTCTGAGAGGCTAAACAAATTCTTTCAGATGCCCCTAAAGGCTACAGATATAAATGAACCTGTCATTCCATAGAGTCACAAAAGTTGTGTCCCCGGGTATAGGAAACTCATAAAAATTATCGTATGCAATTCAAGCGTCAAAATTATAAAAATTCAACCATGTTTAGGAATTCAAGAAATTATCTTTAACAATCATACGGCAATGATCATAGACAAAAATAAATTAACTATGTACGTTTGAAGTAATTGCTCTGAAACAAATTGAGATATAAATCTACAGTAAAAAACAAACAGAGGAACTTCCCCGATGCCACAGTGGTTAAGAATCCACCTGCCAATGCAGGGGAGATGGGTTTGAGCCCTGGTCCGTGAAGATCCCACATGCCACGGAGCAACTAAGCCCGTGTGCCACAACTACTGAGCCTGTGCTCTAGAGCCCGTGAGCCACAACTACTGAGCCTGCGTGCCACAACTACTGAAGCCCACGCACCTAGAGCCCATGCTCTGCAACAAGAGAAGCCACCGCAATGAGAAGCCTGCACACCTCAACCAAGAGTAGCCCCCTGCTCCCGCAACTAGAGAGAGCCCATGAACAGCAATTAAGACCCAACACATCCAAAAATTAATATTAAAAAAAAATAAAATGGGCAAAAGATTTGAACAGAAACATTAACAAAGAAGATATACAGGGCTTCCCTGGTGGCGCAGTGGTTGAGGTTCCGCCTGCCGATGCAGGGGATGCGGGTTCGTGCCCCGGTCCGGGAGGATCCCACATGCCGCCGAGCAACCGGGGGATCCCACATGCCGCAGAGTGGCTGGGCCCGTGAGCCATGGCCGTTGGGTCTCCGCGTCCGGAGCCTGTGCTCAGCTGCGGGAGAGGCCACGGCACTGAGAGGCCCACATACCGCAAAAAAAAAAAAGTGTAGCCCCCACTCGCCGCAACTAGAGAAAGCTTGTGCAGAAACGAAGACCCAACGCAGCCAAAACTAAATAAATTAATTAATTAAAATAAATAAATAAATATGGTCTGGGGACTTCCCTGGCAGTCCAGTGGTTAAGACTCCATGCTTCCAATGCAGGGAGTGTGGGTTCGATCCCTGGTTAGGGAACTAAGATTCCACATGCCGAGTGGCGTGGCCAAATAAATAAACAAATAAATAAGGTCTGCAGCACTGAAGTACACAAAAGGTAAAATATGAATTTAGACCTCCTCTTCAAACTATACACAAATATTAGTTGCCAGCAAGGGCACTGGTAGATTCCAGACCTTGTGGCAGCTGCAGGGAGATTGCAGTCCTACAGTGCCGGGCAACAAAAAGACTAAGGCAGAGGAATGCAATAGAATGTTTAATGCCCTGAGAAAAATCGGAGCAAGGGTGGGGAGTGAGACTATTAGGGAAACTAAGACATTTAAATGCAGTATAGGGACTTCCCTGGTGGCGCAGGGGTTGGGAGTCCACCTGCCAATGCAGGGGACACGGGTCCGGGAGGATCCCACATGCCTCAGAGCAGCTGGGCCCAAGTGTCACAGCTACTGAGCCTGTGCTCTGGAGCCTGTGAGCCACAACTGCTGGGCCCATGTGCCTGGAACCCATGCTCCGCAGCAGAGAGAGGCCACCGCAGTGAAAGGCCCAGGCTAGCCTCAACTGGAGAGGGCCCGCACGCAGCAGCGAAGACCCAATCCAGCCAAAAATTAATTAATTTTTTTTAAAAAGCCTAAAAGGCTTTTAATCCTACTTTTTAAAAATAAATGCAGCATACTGTATATGGTAGAACTGGTGAAACACAGACACACACACACACACACACACACACACACCAGGGAAGAAGCATGTCTGGAAAAAAACTGAGAAAGCCTGAAGCCTTCACACTGGGTTGATTAGTAAAGGTCTTTCCCTGCATGGAGCCAGTCCCTGAAGACATGGACAGGTGGCATAATGTAACAATTAAGAGATCGACAATCCCATCACTTTTGCGTAATCACAAGAGTGACATCTGTCATATTCAAAGACCCACACTCAGGAGAAGGGAACTACACATCTGTGTACACCAGAGGGCAGGAGTCTTGGGGCCATCTTAGAATTCTGCCTGCCTCAGTGATTCTTGCTAAGACACATCTGCCTGAGAAGATTCATGCTCTTCTCATGTGCTTGATTCTTGATAAAAAGCAGTCCAGGGATTTCCCTGGCGGTCCAGTGGTTAGGATTCAGCGCTTTTGCTGTGGTAGCCCAGGTTCAATCCCTGGTCCGCAAACTAAGATCCTACAAGGTGCAACCAAAAGAAAAAAAGAAAGAAAGAAAAAGAGTGTATATATATGTATAACTGAGTCAATTTGCTGTACAGCAGAAATTAACACAACATTGTAAGTCAACTATACTCCAATAAAACTACAAAAAAAGGAAATTCTCTGGAAACAATGTCGTAAATCAAATATAACACTTGTCTCTTGAGTATTTTTCTTTTGAGTGGTGAGCAGCTGAACTTGGGTTTGGTACCAGCCTCCTCAAGTTACACTAATCTTTTTTTTCAACATTTTCATTGCCCCCAAGAGAATCCTCCTACCCACCAACCATCTTTCCCTTTTCTCCCCTCCTCCGGCACCTAGAACCACTTATCTACTTTGACCCTCTATGGATTTGCCTATTGTAGGTATTTTGTATAAATGGAATCATACGATGTGTGGACCTTTTGTGTCTAACCGCTTTTACTTAGCATAATGTTTTCAAGGATCATCTATGTTGTACGATGTGTCAGTACTTCTGTCTTTTTCCTTGCTTAATAACGTCCCACTCTATGGAGAGACCACATCTTGTTAATTTGTTTATTGGTTGATGGACATATGCGGTGTTTCCACCTTTTTGCTCTTATGAATAATGCTGCTATGAACGTTTGTGTGAGGGTTTCTCTTGTGTGCAAGTACATATATTTTCAATTCTTTTGGATATATACCCAGGAGTGGAATTGCTGGGTCAGGTAGTGACTCTATGTTTACCTTTTCGAGGAACCATCAGACTGTTTTCCACACCAACAGCACCGCTCAGATTAAATCCTGCCCCTTTTGTGTTTCCACAGCTCTCGGTGACTCCCAGTTTACAGCACTCAGTACATCTGGCAATTCTTTATAGCTCTTTGCCTGCAGACCTATTTCCTGCACCAGGTCCCAGATCCCTAAAAACAAAGGTTACTGTCTGCTGTCATATTCATTTTGACATTCTCAGTCTTGTTATACGTAAAATGGAAGCGAGCTACTGGAATTAACAGATGTCACTGGGGAAGCTTTGTTTCATGAAAGTGGTTTCCTCACCTGGTCTGAGAGAAACTACTGGTTAGGAGTGAGAAAAGAAAATCCTGACAATTTCTCTTTCACACTTACGAAGTTGGATTTTTTTCTTTTCCAATTAAGGTGTATTTATTCATAAACTCTAAGAACTAGGAAGCAAGATTGCTATATCATATGAATTTATTTCCTGTTTTTACGTCTGGTGTTCTTCCTTTAGAGTGCTCTTGCACAACGTCCTCCAGGAGCAAGTCATGCTCACATTCTGTCATCTGTCACTGTTTCCTCCACACTGGCTGGCATGTCCTGCCTCTCTTTCATTTCTTTTCACAGACGCCCCGGATTTGCGGTATGTATGGCATCGTTTATTTCCACTTTCTTTACCAACTTTTGCTCTGTGTTCAATCTCTTCTTTTCCATATGTTTTCTTCTTTTTGATCTAATGACTAAAATGTAGACATAACATTATTTAGATACTAATAAATCAGGAATTAGAGACAAAAGAAGTGAGGAAATATATGGAAAAATAAAGGAACAAACAATGGAATTTTCAGGTTTTCATGAATGCTATTTGTCTGATAAGGATGGTGAAAATTGCATTTTGAAATGATTTTCCCACTTTCTGTATTCAAGCTTTATAAATATCCAGTTTTAAAAATGTATAATATTGTAAATCAACTATATTTCAATTTTGAAACATTTAGAAAAGTTATAATTCAATGCAATGAAAAGACATTAAAAAAATATTTTCTAAGAGTACAAGGGCGGTCTGCCTCTGTAAGCATCAATTATCTCTTCTACTCTTGGCCTCTCAGCCTCTCTCTGACTATCTCTGGGGTGTTAGAGAGCAGATCCATGCAGTGGATGCTTAATAGTATTGAATCAGACACTGCAATCTACATCGTTTTGCTCTAGAATTTTTTTAAGCAAGTACTGAAGAATCTCAGAACTTCTACAGAATCAGGTTTCTATGAGCATATATGTTGTTCTCTCCTCTCAGGGATTTGCAGGGGTAGTGGGCAATTCTCACTGGGGCGTCTCTGACCTGGGGGTAGTAACCTCTGTTTGGTGGACCTGCATCCCATTTCCACATCAGACTGAGACAGAGCAGGAGGGCATCTGCCTGTCTGTGGTCAAAACTCGGCAACAACACGACATTGATAAGTATGTTTAAGGGAAATGTTGACTCCAGGAAAAGTCTTGTTTCCTGAACTCTCTTTTCAGTCCTTGGAATTGCCTTGCAAAAGGAATCGAACAACCACACAGCTGTTTGCGCTTCTGTGTAATTTGATGCGAATGGCTCATTCCTGCATGTGTGGCTGTAAATATTCATTAGCTTTGCCTTTGAAAACCCAACCATCATTGTCAGCTCAGCTTCCCTTGGATTTTGGATCTGACAAAATAAGCTGGTTGACCCTCAACCTGAATGAATGAACTTTTCCAGTTCCTTCTCACTCTCTGGAAGGAGGTGCGTGGACTCATCCTGGCCCTCATCCTCAGAGCCCTCCTCTTCATCTCCTAATAATGGTATCTTGACATTTTTATAGAGTGACGCAAGTTGTTGTTATTCCTCAGCCTGTACCAGTCAACTGGAAGACAAAATAGATAAATATAAAAGCACAATTTTCCCACTAAATCATCCTGTCTTAATCTTGTGACTTTCTGACGGAAAAGGGGTCACTAGTACATGGGGGAGGAAGCAGAAATAGACTTAAACCCAAATAATTATAGAACTATAATTAATTATAGAAATATAATTAGAATTATAGAATTCTATAGTTCTATAGAATTATAGAACTCAGATTGGGGCTGACACACAGAAAAGGGGCGAGTGATTTGGAGCCAGGTGACAGCAATGGGGCGCCCGGGCTGGGCACAAACCTCCATGATCAAGTTCAATAACATCTTAATGCAATATTTTACAAAAGAAAAATCAATGCCAACAAATCCATGAGGAACACAATGTCAACGTTTTAAATAAAGGTAGCATAGGTACTGCTGATTTTTCCTTTTGCTTAGTCTCCAATATGCTTTGGCCCGACATCATCACTGATCATGTATTTAAAATGTTGATATTTTGTTCATCATGGATTTTTGAGGGCATTAATTTAGACTTAAAAATATTGCAATAAATTATTATTTTTCTTTACTACTGGGTTTCTTGACTACTGCACCCCCTTAAATTTTGCACCTGAGGTGAGTGCCTCGCTCACCCCATCCTAGGCCCAAACTTGGAAGTGGATCATTGAACAGATATTTCTGTGTGACGTGAAACTGGGTAATAGAGTGTTCTACTTTTTCCTAACATACTTACCTTCCTAATTGTGTTTGACTCATGTAATAACAAACCATTTTAGGGTTAGCTTATTTGTGTTCTAAGGGGCTGTGATGGAGGAAGAGGTGTAGGGGGAACATTCCAGAATCATGCTCTGTAGCAGGAAGAAATGGCCTGATTGTAAACACTGTTACAGATAATCAGGAAGCTGGAACAGGACCAGATTTTGGGTGAGGAGAGTGAGGTGCTCGCTTTAGGTGCACAGTTTAAGGGGGTGCCAAAAAACTCAGCAATGGGGATAAATATTTTGACTTAATATCGTAAAAAATTGAAATGATTCCCTGGTGGTCCAGTGGTTAGGACTCAGTGTTTCCACTGCCTAGGGCCCAGCTTCAATCCCTGGTCGGGGAACTAAGATCCTGCAAACCTCATGGTATGGCCAAAAAAAAAGAAAAAAAGAAATGAATGGGAAAAATCCATGATAAACAAAATATCAAAATTTTAAAGACAGGATCCATCAGTGCTGTGATGAACCATATGGGAGACTGAGTCAAAAGGGAAAATGTGAGTCCCTATATACATGTTTTTATGTTTTTATGTATTATTTTACGGTTCTTCTTTTCCAAAACATTAAAGTAGTCGAAATATATTTTTAAAATTGAAAAGTGCTGTATCAAAACTCACAGCATTATTTTAAGTTTAAATACTTTATCTTTATCTTTACCAGAAACAAAATTTATTATTACTTTACTTTCCTGGTTTAAGTGAAATCAAACTCACCAATATATTTTCAAAAATCTACTTCTGGAAAAAATTAACCACTAAAACTTATGTAAAAACATGTACTTTGGGGCACATATTTTTCCTTTTGCCTCAGGTTCTAAAATGTCACTAGGGGGTAACACAAATGTAAAAGCTGTAAATGTTGACATTAGCTCAGTAATTTAATTGGGCACTGAAATTCCAGGAGGATACGTTGTAGTGAGTTACTTTAGCAATCTTAATGTGTTAACATCTTTGTCTAGACTAATGAAATAAACTGAAATTCCAGTTACATAAATTGAGTCATAGATAACCCAGAACCAAACATACTAGGGACACTCTCTCCTTGGCAAAATTTCTTCAATTTTACCTTTAATTTTGCCTTCATTTGACATACTCCAAGTGGTCCTAAAATGGCTACCTTAAAAAATATCCCATACATGGCAATACATTTCCCCTGTACACACTTAATTCTGATAGAGTAAATAATTTAGTACTTCCTCAAGCTGTTTCTGATAGGATATAATGGAGTCCTGGAACTAAATCCTAGAATAGGAATCAGTGTGTTGGTCCTGATCAGAGTAGCATGATGTCACGGTGCGGCTCGCTTTCGTCTGACACTAATTTCAAAATGATCACATAACCTGAGCTTGACCACAAGCTTTATTTGTGCGAACAAGATGAAGTGTCTTCCCTAAATGCTACTATTACCCCTACTATTGCATTGATAATAAGTTTCTAGTAAAAGAGAGAGTGGCCAGTCTTTTCTGCTTTGCACTATTAAGATTCCCTCCAAAGTATCAAGTTCACTCTAGAAAGCCACATTTTGGGAGGATGACAGCATCTTTGACTGTGGCTTTCAAACATTTTTGATGATGATCCACAGTAAGAGATAAGATTTACCTCACAATCTTGAGTCTGAAAAGGTTGAAAATCAGCATTTAGTTTTTGTTGTTGTTGTTGTTGACTGCTTTGGCTCTTCGTTGCTGCGTGGGCTTTCTCTAGTTGGAGTGAGCAGGGGCTACTCTTCGTTGCGGTGTGCGGGCTTTCTCATTGTGGTGGCTTCTCTTGTTGCAGAGCACGGGCTCTAGGTGCACAGGCTTCAGTAGTTGTGGTGCGTGGGCTCAGTAGTTGTGGCTCGCTGGCTCAAGAGTGTAGGCTCAGTAGTTGTGGTGCACGGGTTTAGTTGCTCTGTGGCATGTGGGATCTTCCCGGATCGGGGCTGGAACCCGCGTCCCCTGCATTGGCAGGCGGATTCTTAACCAGTGAGCCACCAGGGAAGCCCAACATTTACTTTAATACTTTCTATTCTACTAAATTGTATTCTGTCCTGTTTCTTTTTTGTTTGTTTGCTTGCTTTTTTAAAAATTAATTTCTATTTTTACTTTAAAAATTCTTTTTATCCAGCTTCTTTTAAATTTTTTCATTTATATCATGACCCAACATGAATATAGCCCATATTCTGAAAAACACTGTCTGAAAATGTATAATGACCATAATAATTTAAGGATTATAAGAATTATCACCATCATCATCATTACTATCACAAAATAATAACCTAGTTAACTTGCTATGTCTTACTTAAGGATGGTAAAAGTTATTTAGCACAGACTTACTATATCATGTAGGAAACAGTGATCCCACATATCAGGGCAATACTGACGGCTTTACATGTAATTGTAATTACTTTAACAAGAGCAGGTCTATGAGGAATCAGTGCTAAGAATGGGAAAAAAAAGTTCTCATAAAGTCTCATTTTAGGTGTGACTATCAGTTAATATATTTGTTAATCATATTGTTTTGGCAGAATGAGAGACAAAATCAGAAATAACCTTAAAAATAGTATTCTTAATTAAAAATAAAAAACCATAGAGGCTAGACTGTACAGCCTGTGTGAGAAAATATAATTTGAATTCCCACCCAATCTCTGATTCCTTTTTCCATCTGCCTCCTGTCTTTGGTCAAAGCCCTCTCTTATGAGACTTGATCCCTGACTCAGTACAGCAGAACTGGCCATTGATGTAGCTGAAAGGAGAGTGGCCTTAGTTTTACAACTCAAGTGTTGCCCAGATGGTCTTAGATTGTGTAGTGCTGTTACAAAAGGAATATTTTAGGGTAATTCAGAATCTAATTCTGCAAACCTGTATTGGGGTTTGTATTTAGGCCCACTGAATGCGCTACAAAACCTTGGATGCTTTTTGTAGGCTCAGGTGTACCACTTCTCCCATGATCTGAAATAAAAATAAATAAACAGAGCTATTGTTGGTACAAAGTGAACAAAAGAGCAGTTGACTAAGTACATTATCAACCACTTGTAGGGACTTCCCTGGTGGTCCAGTAGGTAAGACTCCACGCTCGAAATGCAGGGGGCCCAGGTTCAATCCCTGGTCAGAGAACTAGATCCCGAATGCTGCAGCTAAAGAGTTTGCATGCCGCAACTAAGATCCCATGTGCCGCAACTAAGACACAGCATGGACAAAATAAATAAATAAGTATTTAAAAAAAAAAAAAAACTTGTAAAAATCTGACAAATTGAAGTGCCTACTACTTGTTGCAAACGTGGCCTTCCCTCACTTTCTGTCCCTTCACTGGTTCAATGACTGAGCTGAGAAATACTTTGAGATTCATACCTCAATGTGAAGTCAGCCTGACATGACAAAAAGAACCTGGACTGTAAAAATGCTTGCAGATTAAACGCTTAATTGTAGACCTTAGGTGTGGCATACATAGATGTTCATTCTATGATTCTCTCAACTTTTCTGTGTTTTCAGATTTTCTTAATGAAATATTAGGGGTGGCGGGGTATGGGTTACTTTTGGTTTCAATACAATGACTCCTGAAAATTGGTTGCTGGACTTGGCAATAGGAAGGTCATTGGAGACCTAGTCAAAGGAGATGTTATCGATGTGCATGAGTGAAACAGGTTTGAGAGAGAACAGGGGGAAAGGAATTGGAGAGAGCAAGTTTTGGAAACTTCCTGAAGAGTTTTGCTGTCATGGAAGGAAGAGAAATGGGGGCAGCTCCCAGAGGGGGCTGAGGGATCAAGAGACGAGTTTTGTTTTTTAATATGGGAAAACCGACAGCATGTTCATATAAGAATGGGGATGATATTTTAAATACTGTGATGTTCCTGGAAAGGGAGAGAGAATTGCCTGGGGTGTCCCCAGTTGGCCTGAGGGGATGTTAGCTGGTGCACAGGTGAAGGGTCAGCCTTGGCCTAGACAGGAGGAAAAATGAGAAGGTACAACTGTGCTAGATCAGGGGATGCAGACACTCTGTCAAGTGCTTGTATTTTGTCAGTGATGGAGGAAACAAGGTCATCCCCTAAGAGCGAGCCTGGGGTAGATATGTTGGGAGTATTTGGGGGATGAGAAAAACAGACGAGAAAGTCACCAAGCAAAAGGGGAGGGTAAATGAACTAAGGAAATGGAGTAGCTTTCTTTCTTTCTTTCTTTCTTTTTTTGCCACGCCACGTGGCTTGTGGGATGTTAATTCCGTGACCAGGGATTGAACCCGGGCCCTGGCAGTGAATAAGTCCTAACCACTGGACTGCCAGGGAATTCCCTGGAATAGCATATTTTAAATAAAATTCCCAGAAATGGAATTGCGGAGTATATTGACTCTATTTTCTTGTTTTCTATACCCTTGATGGTCTACCACTTGGGGCCTTCATCCTGGGAAGGCTCCACCTCTCAGGGCTGGCTAGCCCAGAGACAGCAAGCGACTCCCCTGTGATGTCTTTGATATTCAAACCAACCATTAAACCCTCACACACCAGGCCAATACTCCCTCTGCCCTGAATCACCCCAGGGCCAGGTACTGGACACCTGAGAACCACTCCTATAGCCCAGAGCCCACCAAAATTATTCAAACTATGCAACACTAAGCTTACTCCATGTACCTACCCCACCTCACCCATTCCTTCCCTCAAAACCCCCAATAGAAGCTCTGGGTCATTCTCTCCCCTCTCCTCCTCCTGCCTCCTAACCCACTCTGGTCCTTTCCCACATGGCCTGGCATGCTGTGCCATGCCTTCTGTTTCTAGGATTCCATGTGTATAAACGTCTTCCTTCATGACTATCATTTCCGTGTCTGCGTGTCTTACCATACCTGATTAAAACAAATCCCAGGGATATTTCAACACTCTGGGTCAAAAAGTGAATGCATTCTTTTTATAAGAATTGCCAATTGTGCTCTGTAGAATTTTTACTCATTCCTAGCCTACAAACATGATATGAGATTATCTTTCCCTCCTCCTTTGCCAGGAGAGTTTTCCAGTGATCTGACTAGACAAACAATTCTGTCTCTGTCTCTGTATCAGAAGCTACACTTGGGACCCAAAGCTCAGGCGTGGCAGAGGTCTCAGTGAACCTCTATTGCCATCTCACAAGACAAGTTAGTGTCAAAGTAAGGACTAGAATGTGGGCCTTCTGACACCTTGGCCCGAACTCCTTTTCTGGGCTTTGGTGCTGGGGGCGGGGGGTGGTGAACTGGGAAGTGAACTATTATAGCTGGGCTTTACGAAGGATAATAACGTCTTTGGGATGGATGGAGGGATGGATTAATTGTGGGGATATTTTTTCCTGTATTTCCCGATGCTTTGACCTCTGTGCTATTTTCTAATCTGCCCCAAGCAACATCATTACTAATCCAACCATTGGGCGGGGGACGCCTTTTTCTAGTTTGCACAAAGGGGCTGTACAGGTTAGTGACAAGCAGCGCGGCGTGCCCTCTGGAGCCACAGAGCACAGCAGCTTTGTGAATGTCCATGGATCCCACCCACCCTCCCAGATGCCTTGACTTACCAGTACGCCCTGGGAATGGCATGGGTGTAGTACGTACTGGAGCTATACGGATGTTGAAGGGGATCAGAAAGAAGAGACAGGTTTAAGATGCACTTAGGAAAATTAAGATGTAACTTGGTATTAGATAAGGGGGCCTAAAACGTAGTTTCCAAATAGCTAAGATGGTAAATGTTCTCAATAAGTTTATTCCAATGCCTAGTATTGATAGAAATGTGTGGCTTAATTTGCAAAAGCATGGTGCTCTGCTTGCATCCAGTGTTTCCTTTGATGAATCTGGACCATTAAGAACACAATGCATTTGGGTCCTGGGTCTGCTTTTGCAGTCACGCAAGCTGGGAAACCTCCTCCCAAGCTGAGGACCTGGAGAAACTTAGCACAGAGCTGAAGAGGGATGTGCTCTTATCAGGTCGGAGAGCCGGGGCCAGGGAGGGCCCAACAGTCACAGCCCTTCTGTCACTCAGCTTATGGAGAGTGAAGAGTATAGGATATAATTTCCAAGCAATGCTTATCTAGTTTTATTATTTTATGGACCATGCTACTAACAAATATACAAGAAGAGACACATTGGGCTTCCCTGGTGGTACAGTGGTGAAGAATCCGCCTGCCAATGCAGGGGACACAGGTGCAAGCCCGGGTCCGGGAAGATCCCACATACCGTGAAGCAACTAAGCCTGTGCGCTACAGCTACTGAGCACGCACTCTAGAGCTCGCAAACCACAACTACTGAGCCTGCACTCTAGAGCCCATGAGCCACAGCTACTGAGCCCATGTGCTGCAACTACTGAAGCCCGCGTGCCTAGAGCCCGTGCTCTGCAGCAAGAGAAGCCACTGCAATGAGAAGCCCATACACTGCAACGAAGACCCAGGCAGCCAAAAATAAATTTAAAATTTTTTTAATCTTAAAAAAAGAAAAAGAAGAGACACATTGATATAGCACATAAGAGGACCCCAGAATACATTCTCATTTCACTGAACAAGTACTAACAATGACTCACCTCTGTGTTTTGAGAAAGCTCCTTGAACGTGAGATAATTGAAATTCCTTAGCGTACAGTGTAGGCTTTTTGGTGACGTTTGTGCGTCTTTGTGACTGCATATAACCTGGAAGAGAAAACTTGTAGCAGTGAAATATAATTACTCCTTTTTACTTCCTCTAAAACAAGTGAAATCATGCTTGAAGCTACCCATTAAGCGTGTTGTTTGTCCAGCTGGTTTGAGCTCACCTGCATAAGGCAAGCACAAATGAAGTGGGAATTCCATTAAAAACAAAAATAAAATGGCGAAAGAACTTTGAACCTTGTCCATCATTCCAAAACTGCTAGTTTGTTATCGTATGGGTGAAAGGAAGTATTTAGTTGTAGGCTAGCATCTGTCCTATATTTCTCTGAGGAACTAAGGAGCTCTTCTCACTACAGAATGTTTGGGTTCTGACTGGGAACCACCAGTGTGAGGTCAGCTCATGTTGCCACATGGAATTCTTTCATGGAACCAAGTCAGCCAGTGGTGAGCCTAACAGAATGAGTGAGTGCGCTGGGAGGGATGCTAAGCTCTTGGGTACAGATGTGAATAAGAACAGGTCCCTGCCCTCAGAGAGCGTCCAGATTAGTGAGGAGGCAGATAGAAATCAATTATAATCCCATGTGAGGCCTTCCCTGGCAGTCCAGTGGCTAAGACTCCGTGCTTCCAGTGCAGGGGGCCCGGGTTCCATCCCTGGTCGTGGAGCTAGATCTCACATGCATGCCACAACTAAGACCCGACACAGCTAAATAAATAAATAAATATTTAAAAAAATAATAATTCAATGTGACACATCATAAGAAGCCAACAGAGAAAACAGCAGGGCTCTGTGTTCAAATGCCTGAATTCTAACCCTCATCTCTGGCTTCCTAGATGTTTGAGCTTGATCAAGTTACTTACCCCTCTGAGCTTCAGTTTCCTCAGCAGAAGAATAGGACAGGAACTAATACCTACTTCACAGGGTTACAGTGATGGCTCAATAAAGGAGTCCACGCAAAGCTCAAAAAGAGTGTGGGCACTGAACGTTAGTTCTGGTTGTAAAATGGGAGAGTATAATATTTGCAATAAAGCAATTCAGTACTCCTCCAGCCTCTGGGGGTGCTGTTCAGAAACCTAGACCCAAGCTGCCATCTCCAGAAGTTTCTTTAAAGGAGATTAAATGAATCATCTGAAAATGTGGAAATGGGATAGAAAACTAGATGGCATGGAAGAAGGTTGTCCCCTGGACGTGCCCTTTGCCCACCTGGTAGTTCCCACAATACAGAAAACAGGTTTTCATTCCTCCTACCAATTAGAATAAGTGAACAGACCAGAGACCTTTCAAGGCTTGTAAAGTCCCCTGGGGTTAGGAGCTGGTTCCCATGTGCTGTGCCCCAAAGGGCAGCTGTCCTTCCTGAATGTCAGGAGATGACAAGGCAGGCCTCCAGATATACGCCCGCTGTGGGCCATGAAGTTTCTTGCTCTGCTCTTACAACAGCCCAATCTGCCTTCCTCCCATCCTGCCATGCCCGGGGATGAGCCAGGTAAGAACAAGCGCCCCACGCTCTCTCTCTAAGTCCCGCAGTCTCAGAGTCACCCCCAATCAAGCCCGTCTGGATGAGTTCATCTTCTGTGTCTCTTTGAACTTAGTTTGGGGCTCCCTCTCGGTACTGTGACCTTTAGTCTGGATTTAGGTCTCTCAAGCTCCCCATGGGCACTGCTGTCTTTGGGGTTGGTCTGGGATATCAACTTCTCAATGGTCACTGCTGCCTTGCTCAATCCTCTCCGATAGGTCTGTGAACACCTGGCTCTTCCTAGACTTGGTTCTTACAGTCTGTGCACTCAGCCCAGCTGGATGAATCCTACAAGCATCAGAATACCACTGTGAGTTAATAATGCTGACAGATGTGTAGAGAATACAAGGTCAAGCTATGAGGATTAGGCCAAGAGATAAGATCTTTCATAATGTCACCAAAACCTTTCAACAGATTCCCTTAAATCCAGGGGTGCCTGACCTGTTCTCTTGGCTTTCTTCCAAAGTAGTGTGTCCGGTTGCAAAACTGTGTTCCCAACCTTCGTCATATGCCTTATAGGACTATTCCTCATTGTCATCTTTACCAAAATTTGCCATCAGTGGCCATGTCCAGCCGTCCCAGTCAGTTTAGCATCTCCACAACCCTGGTGACAAGTGTTATTCACCCCAAATAATATTGTTAATGATGTTGGAGAATTACAGTGTGGATTGTATTGTAGTTTTTTTAAATTGAAGTGTAACTTCAATTGTGTAACTGACATTAACATTATATTAGTTTCAGGTGTGCAACATAATGATTCGATATTTGTATGTATTGTGAAATGATCATAAGTCTAGTTAACATCTGTCACATATACATATTACAACATATATAATTACAAAATTTTTTCTTGTGATTAGGACTTTTAAGATCTACTCTCTTGGGACTTCCCTGGTGGTCCAGTGGTTAAGAATGTCTTGTAATGCATGGGACACCGGTTCGATCCCTGCTTGAGGAGCTAAATCCCACATGCCAAGGGGCAACTAAGCCCTTGCACCACAACTAGAGAGCCCGCACACCGCAATGAAGAGCTCATGCACTGCAACTAAGACCCGACACAGCCAAAAATAAATAAGTAAATAAATATTAAAAAAAAAAAATCTACTCTTAACAGACTGGTGGTTGCCAAGGGTGAGGGAGTTGGGGGAGGGATGGAATGGGAGGTTGGGGCTAGCAGATGTAAGCTTTTATACAGAGACTGGATAAACAACAAGGTCCTACTGCATAGCACAGGGAACTCTATTCAATATCCTGTGATAAATCATAATGGAAAAGAATATATAAAAAAAGAATGTATATATATGTATAACTGAGTCACCTTGCTGTACAGCAGTAATTAAAACAACATTGTAAATTATCTATATTTCTATAAAAAATAAAAACAAATAAAAATAAAAACATTTACTTTCTTAATAACTTTCAGATATACAATACAGCATTATTAACTACAGTTGTGATGCTGTACATTACATCCCCATGATTTATTTTATAAATGGATGTTTGTACCTTTTTACCCCTTTCACCTATTTCATTGTATTGTAAAATTTTAAATTTTGTATTTTCCTGCTGCCTCAACATACCCGCAAACAGGCTGTGAGCACCCCTCCCAGGTGACCAGGCTTATCAAGTGATAAGGCTGGCCCCTGCTACAAGGGGCTTCCTCTTTGCTCTCCCCTGAACATGACCTAGTAACATTCAAAAACACCAATGACATACCTCATGCCTATTTTTGTGTATTCTACCCACACCCCTAATAAAAGAACTTGCCTTTGGGCTAGTCTTCACTCTCTGCTCCCCACCTGCTTGGTTGAGCCCGCTCCCTGGCTTGCAGCATGTGTGGACCTTCGTGGCCTGCCGTAACTCCGTCTTTCTAGGACCTATGAGTATAATAAACGTTGTTTCTTCCTGCTACTCTCCTGTGTCTCCTCTTATGGCTACACCTGACTGACCATCACCTAAAAGAACATAAAACAGTGTTCATAACATTATTTATAATAACCAAAAAGTTATTATAAACCCAAATGTCAACTGATGAATCAACTGATGAATGGATAAACAAAAAGTGTATATCCACATGATGGAATATTACTCATCCAAGAAAAGGGGCAAAGTACTGATTTATGCTACAACACTGATGAACAATGAAAATATTATGCTAAGTGAAAGGATCCAGAAACAAAAGGCCACATTATATCATTCCATCTATATGAGAGGTCCAAAATAGGAAAATCCATACAGACAGAATGTAGATTACTGGTTGCCAGGGGCTGGGGGGAGGAATGAATAGGGAGTAGAGTAATTGCTAATGGGGTTTCCTTTTGGAATGATGAAATGTTCTGGACTTAGATAATTGTGATGAATGAACAATATTGTGAATATACTAAAAACCACTTTAAAAAGGTTAATGTTATGGTATGTGAATACCTCAAGCTATTGCTTTTTCAAAAGACTTTCTTTTTTAGAGTAGCTTTATGTTCACAACAGAGTTCCCACATACCCCCTGCCCCCTCATACACACACACACACACACACACACACACACACACACACGGCCTTCTCCATGATTGACATCCCACACCAGAGAGGTACATTTGTTACAGCTGGTGAACCTACATTGCCACATCATAATCAAAGTCCCTAGTTTATGTTGAGGTTGACTCCCGGCATTACACATTCTATGGGTTCTGACAAAGGTATCATGACATGTATCCAATCTTATAAAATGTCATACAGCACAGTTGCCCTGCTGTAAAAATCCACTATGCTCCACCCTCTGGCAACCACTGATATTTTCACTATCCCCATAGTTTTCCCTTTTCCAGAATTTCATATGTTGGACTCATACAGTATGTAGCCTTTTCAAATTGGCTCCTTTCACTTATTAATACTTATTTAATATATTCTTTAGTAGTATGTTTCTCCATGTCTTTTCATGGCTTGGCAACTCATTTCTTTTCAAAGCTTCAAAGCTCTTTTTAAAATAAGGTGTAGTTGATTCACAGTATTAGTTTCAGGTGTACAACACAGTGATTCAAAATTTTTATAGATTATACTCCATTTAAAGTTACTTTAAAATATTGGCATATCCCTTGTGATATACAACACATACTTGTAACTCATTTATTTTATACATGGTAGTTTGTACCTCTTAATCACCTACCCCTGTCTTGTCCCTCCTTGTCAAAGCTATTATTTTTTAAAAATGAGAAAAGCCTTTGAGTTTGGATGATCTTTTTTTTTTTTTTTTTTTTTTTTTTTTTTCGGTGTGTTCTCATCTGTTAAAAGGGATAACGTGATAGCATTCAACCTAGCAGGACTGTTAGCTATGCTTTTTATTTTTTATTTATTTATTTATTTTTTTCCGGTACGCGGGCCTCTCACCGCTGTGGCCTCTCCCGTTAAGGAGCAAAGACTCCGGACGCGCAGGCTCAGCGGCCATGGCTCACGGACCCAGCGCTCTGCGGCATGTGGGATCCTCCCGGACCGGGGCACGAACCCGTGTGCCCTACATCGGCAGGCGGACGCTCAACCACTGCGCCACCAGGGAAGCCCGACTTTGGGTGATCTTAAGTGCAGCCCATGGACTACAACTCCCAGAAGGCTGCACAGGCCGCTGTCTCCCAGCGGCCTGAGTGCTCCCATTGGTCGGAGGCACGCCACGATGCCTTCTGGGAGTTGTAGTCTGAGCCTCACAGGTGCTCCCCTGTCCGAGGAGGCCAGGGCCCGGCCTATGGA